GCTGAGGCTCACAAAGAGATACGAGAAGTTTATGGTGTCGATTGTTTAACAGAACGCACGTGTCAGAATTAGTTTAAAAAATTTCGTTCTGAAGATTTTTCACTGAAAGATACCCACAACGTTCTGGTCGACCTTCTGAGATTTACGCGCTTGGTTAAGTTTTTTGCGGATAAGGTCCAGAAATTCTATGAGCGCGAGATCACGAAGTTGCCAGAAAGGTGGCAAAAGGTCATCGAATAGAATGGAAGATATTTGACGGATTAAAGTTCATTTACTGTATAGCAAAAATTGAGTTTTATTTCACACTAAAAAACCGAAAGTACTTTCTTGCCAATCCAATATCTCCTATAAGCTGAAACTACATCCAAGATTCCTATGAAGACTTTCCACCGACATGCAAATTGCACCGCGCTCTTAAATTCAATTTCCATTCACTCATGACGAATCAGATATCACCGAGTTCCACTGTCCTCGAAATAAGCCACGAAGGGGACGGAAACAGGGGATGGGCATTAAAGATCCACGAGCAACCGCGTTTCAGTTTTCCCGAGTTTGCTCGAGCTCGGTTTACTGTCGTTTCCGCTTTGCAACGCGCACTTATTTTTAATGTGGCCGCTCGATTCGGCCTGGCCGGTGTGCAGGCGGCTTAATACGACGTTCGGGCGACGAGCAAAACGTTAAGTCCCCTGTTTGCGCGATTGTCCTAACAATATTCGTGGCGCGGGTGCGATATGGCCGGTATTATTTGCGCGATACAATGGAAGCGTTGTGCGAGTAACGATATAAGCGTGAATTACGCCCGTCTGCCACGCTGCCACCGGCCGATACAGTGGCTTTTCGCGCTCTAACGATTCGCTTCTTTCGCTTCGCGGATTAGTGGCCATTGCGTTAGGCTAACGGGTGAGGATCCTCCAACTGCGACGATTAAAACACCCGTAGAACCTTTCGAATAAAGCTGCGACACGCAGCTTCCCGAATGGCGCATCCGTCTGATGAACGCACGGGGATGAACTCCAACCCTTGCTCCAAAAGGGTTGTTTGATAATTTCGCGTTGGTTCTAATGGAGATTATGGCAGATTCGGAAGGGAATTGCAGGAGATTTTTGGTCTCGTTGAATTATTTGAATTGGATGAATTTAATCTTGGTTTTGGAAAATATAGGTGTTAACCCTTTGCACTCGACAATTTTTTGACTAAAGAAGGGTACGAGTTGAAAAATTTTCTGCTCTAGGCTGATGATATTTTTTAAGCAGTAAATAAGAAATCGTACAATAAGTATCACGTAGAATTATTTAATTTCGATATCTCGCACACTGTTATATTATTTTAAATTTGATATATTAATTAATATCGAGCTTCGAAATTTTATCAAATGGCGACTGAAAGGCGTGTGGTAATGGTTACATAGATTGTTAAATATATATGTATTGGAATGAGTGGAACAGGTATGCGTGGGATGGAAATATCTAATGAATTCAGGTTATTATGATAAATGAGTATACGCGTAATGATTGAGGTGTTGTGTGAATTATGTATATTAAATATAATGTATGAAAGAAGAAAGAGAAAAGAGAGTGATTTGGAATGTCAGTTGCAATTGAGTATTAATAGAGAGAAGACGTGCGAGCATGTGATAGTGATAAAATAATTAGATTTCAACTCAATATTTGTGTTTGATAATCTTTGTAATTAAATAAATAATTGTTCTTATTGTTATTAAATTTCATCAACTAATAACAAGGCGCCTCTCGAGTGCGAAGGGTTAAAAATAAGATACGTCTTAATGTATATACAAAAATCAATCTATGTCAACGTTTGACATTGAATGGTTGTGTGAGAATCCATATATGGGTTCATAGCGATCAAAGGGTTAAGATAGAATAAGATAATTATAAAATAAAGATAGTTATTTCTTTTTACCTATAATCCCAATAATAGGAAATTATTGGTTAACGGATACACATGGTAAATAGTTTTCCAATACATGCTTCGATATGTAATTTACTAAGGATAGTTGTAATGTAAAAATGTAAAATCTTATGTAAGTTAGTAGGCTGGTCTAATCGCACAAACTATCTTAATAGCTCAGACACTTACTATGTCTACCTTGAAACTTGCAGATAACGCGTAACAACGAAAACTATGAAAAAGTAACACTATAGAAGACACTGTGACGAATTTCAGTTTCTCCCAAAATTTCAATTAGATTTCAATTACATTTCAATTTAAATTTTCAATTTAGACGCATAATGTTGGGTTTTGAAAAATCTATCGAGTAGAATTTCCTGTTTAGTAGTCTACTTTTTAAACGAGTTATATTCTCGTCAACTTAGAATATACGTATATATTTCGTGCACGTTGGCAAAGTAAAAAATATTATTAACACGTTGAATGCCAGTCCAGTTTTACAAGGATGGCGCCACGCTGAATTTTCTATTATGCGATACATATAATGTAAAAATAGATAAATTACAATTGTTAAATATGTTGGAATGCTAAAGACACAAGTCGAGACATCTTACATATAACCTCGATGTTAAAACGTTTCTTGATTACATACTAATGTATGATTGCATACGTGTCTGTCGGTCACCAGCTAAATTCCTTTGTTCAAACTCACAAGGAGAGTGCAAGTCCTTCGGGTCACCGATTTGGTTCAAACTTTGCAGGTTTGTAGATCTCGTCATGCAGTTCAAGAAAATATTGGGGCAACTACTCAGTAGTTTTTAAGATATTTATGATTAAAATTTTATTACTTTGTTAACTACAGATGTATTTCCACTAGTTTTGAAGTAGCATTGTGGCCCCATGGCGACGTCCAAAAATTCCTACGCTGCAGGTCTGTCATGTTTTGTCAGTCTCTATGGAATCGTTGTACAGCACACACCGATCGAGTTATCAATTATTAAAGCGTTGCCTTTTTATAATTGGTGTTCCTTTCTTTTTAACTCCACTGCCATCCCAAATTCTATCAGGATAACTAACGATTCGTTGGGTCCTTAGTCACTAGAAGGGCCTAGCTAATAAACGCAGACCAATTTCAAAATTCAAAATACAACTGACTCATTCGAAATTTCACTAAGGGCCAATGATCATCTTCACCCCACCAAAAACTAACATTATACAAGCCTCTACAAAATTTGCGAAATGCCAGTTTTTTCCTCTCCGCCGACTTGTATTTTTCCGACGTAGCTTTGTTGCTAGAACCCGTATTGTATATTGAAATCCGGGTTCCAACACGATGTATAACCATGTTAACCTTTTACACTTTGCAGTCACCATTTCATAAAATTTGGAAGATCGATATTAATTAATATATCAAATTTAATGTAATAGTGTGCGAGGTATCGAAGTCAAATAATTCTACAATTTTATTATTATACAATTCTTTATTTACTGCTCAAAGAAGTATTGCCAGTTTTTTAGTAGAAAATCTTTGAATTTCTACTCTTCTGTAGCCAAAAAATCGTCGAGTGCAAAGGGTTAATTGCGACGGGGGTCACCATTGAATTAACCATGGTAATAATAAAAATTTCTAAATATTCACATTTGTTTGAATTATATATATTTCTATCAATCTGGGGTCACCGGTGACCCCACGGTATTCAACGTGTTAAAATATATAAGGTTGTCAATAGAGAATCAGAGATTTACAAAAATATACGTTTCATATGCCTGAAAGAGTTTCGAGATAACAAATGCAATTATGGTACGAGCTTTGTGTAATTAGATGTTATTTGCTGTCGCGAGGAACGTTCTCGTGTCGGATAAAACTATTTTGAACGTTTCCATGTGCAAACTGGACAAGCTTGTTGCAAATTTATATCCCGTTGCACCTTTCTGCAGCAACCATTTCTGTCTCATTAAACGAGGATCTTGTTATACGAAGGATTAAAGTCGGACGTTTGTTTTTCACAGGATGCAACCGTACTGTCAGGAATTCCGTTGGATGGATACGATGGACAGGGCGAATGGGTCGATGCATCGTTCGCATCAGAGCGCCTCCCAGAGATCCCCAGGTTAATAAAAATTCTCTCACTAACGATCGCAAAATTGCCCGAAATATTTCAAATCAAATTCGCACTTTAATCAGGAAAATTCACAATTTTTGTTACATCTATTGCGACCTCTATTGTCTCTTGTAATAATATTATACAGGCAATAAAATTAATCGATTTCGTTAAGAAGCAAATAATTTTTCGATATGAAATTTCGTTGAAATACGATACAATTTTTAGCTAATTTTGCTAATTATGCTAATTTTTAGCTAATTGTCCTAAATGTTTCAAATCAAATGCGATACAATTTTTAGCTAATTAAGCTAAAATTTAGCTAACTAAGCATCAGAGCGCCTCCCACAGATCTCTAGGTTAATAAAAATTCTTTCACTAACGATCGCAAAATTTTCCTAAATATTTCAAATCAAATTCGTACTTTAATTAGAAAAATTCACAATTTTTGTTACATCTATTGCGACCTCTATTGTCTCTTGTAATAATATTATACGGGCAATAAAATTAATCGATTTCGTTAAGAAGCAAATAATTCTTCGATATGAAATTTCATTGAAATACGATGCAATTTTTAGCTAATTTTTAACCAATTGTCCTAAATGTTTCAAATCAAATACGATACAATTTTTAGCTAATTGTCCTAAATATTTCAAATCAAATTAGTACTTTAATCAGGAAAATTCACAATTTTTGTTACATCTATTGCGACCTCTATTGTCTCCTGTAATAATATTATACAGGCACAAAAATTAATCGATATCGTTAAATAGTAAATAATTCTTCGATATGGAATTTTATTGAAATACGATACAATTTTTAACTAATTTTGCTAATTAAGCTAATTTTTAGCTAACTGTCCTAAATGTTTCAAATCAAATTCGTACTTTAATTACAATAATTCACCACTTTTGCTACATCTATTGCGACCTCCATTTTTGTCTCCTGTAATAATATTATATATGCATCAAAATTAATAAATTTCGTTAATAAGTAAATAATTCTTCGATATGAAATTTTATTGAAATACGATATAATTTTTAGCTAATTTTGCTAATTAAGCTAATTTTTAGTTAATTGTCTTAAATGTTTCAAATCAAATACGATACAATTTTTAGCTAATTAAGCTAAAATTTAGGTAATTAAGCTAATTTTTAGCTAATTGTCCTAAATGTTTCAAATCAAATTCGTACTTTAATTAGAAAAATTCGCAACTTTTGTTACCTCTATTGCAACCTCTATTGTCTCCTGTAATAATATTATATAAGCGACAAAATCAATCGATTTCGTTAAAAAGTAAATAATTCTTCGCTATGAAATTTCATTTTTAACAAAATTAATGAATTTCGTTAAAAAGTAAATAATTCTTCGCTATGAAATTTCATTGGAATACGATACAATTTTTAGCTAATTATAATTTCACGAAAATGAATTATTTCTTGGCAAAATAAGAATGCAATATGCAAACTTCTTGCGAATAGAGTTTCGCGTCATGATAACGTCTGGAAAGCGAGGGTAAAACAACTTGTAACAAAATTTGGTGCTGTTCAGGTGATCGAGTTAAAAGTTAGGAGGCTGCAAGTTGGTTTCCTGAAAGAAACCAGATGCGAGGGTGCTTACATTCAATTTTCCGATGGCAGCGAGGATCTCGAGGATGAAACGGGACGTTATTGCGGCCAAGTGAATGGCAACGCAACCAGGTAGGATACATTTTAATTTCCCACTGCTGAATATGCATTGCAAATATCTCGGATTACGATACACGTAAGATCGTTATCCAGAGAGTTCCTTTTTCGTCAGGTAAATTGCATCTTACTGTACCTGGCGTAATCACGCGGCCAGATTTACGTAATTGCTCAATCGAGGTACTTAGCGTACACGATTCCACGTAAATTTTCCATTATGTCGTTCCTTATTCCACTGTGCTCGTGGCTGGGTACCCGATATCGAAGAAATCCTCATGCATAAATGCGGAAAATTTTGCAACCGCTGAAACAAATCATTATCGAGGCACAGAGGCTCGTTCGGACGGTAAAATACGCGTGTACCGAGTAGATAAAAGAGCGGAGTGATTGGTGGGATCGTTAATGAAAAATAATTAACCGGTTGGAATAGTATTCACAGCAGGTTGTAAACCAAATGTGTGCACCGCTGGTAGATAATGGATTAAACAGATGCCCGCTGGTCGAAATGTAGCGGTTCCAAGCCGCTTATAAACGCGGTATTTAATGCGTGTAAATATTTCCAATCTCGATGTGCCCGATGATTTTGGCTTGCTTTAATTTCAATTTTCTCCTTTTCGCCTCTCCTTTGTCACGTTTATTAATACATCTCTGTGCCACGATTACAATCTCGCCGCAGTTGCTTAATCATTCCCTAATTTATCGAATACGCCAGCCCGTGTTCCGTTTGAAAGGTAATCTGCCATAACAACGACCACGCGAAATTCAATTTTACTTTGATACTCAATTTCGCGGATTCGGCAAATAATCCAGTTCTTTTTAATCCTAATTATTCGCCGCCGGTTTAGGAATTTAATTAATTACCTCGTTTCCGTTACCACAGAGCTGGCTAGAATTGCGCGTTGCTGTTGCATAGGTCAGCGAGTCGCGAATATGTACATACATTTCCTCGAGAATAGACTTCCAAGTTTCGTACTCGCTCGTATCGCGCGATTTACAATTTTATTATTTAAATTATTTGTTCGTTCGTTAGAGTAACGGATAAATAATAATTATGCATGCATAACGAGTAATTTATTATTGCCTCGCCAGCGAGATTACGCCGCTCGCGTGTAAGTTGAGTTACAATCATTCGTCATGCACAGCGATAGCGTCCACGATAGTTCTTAATTGCGAAAGGAATTACAAGGAGAGTGCAAGTCCTTCGAATCAATGATTTAGTTGAAACTTTATTGCGTTTATTACTTTTTATTATTTTTACTTTTATTTTTACATTTTATTACGTTTTACCATTTGGCTAATTATGAATTTATTTCCAACAGGTTTCTAGTGGAGTCGTGGCGTAACGGTGATAGTCGGGAACTGCAATGCTGAAGGACCGGGGTTCGATTCCCGTCCGCGGTTAATATTTTTTTTTTTATCTATTTTTTATTTTGTATTTATTTTTCGCCTACGAAAACATTGTAAATATACAATTACAAATAAAATTTCTTAATAAAAAAATTTATTTTTTACGCTTTCTTATGTTAGTATATATTTATTACAAAATTATGAGAATATTATGCGAGAAAAACAGTTTTCTATAGCAATCTTATTTACTACAGAAAGAAAACGAAAATATAAATACTCAGTAGATACAAGAAATACAAAAGCTATCGGTTAGGTAGGTATTAATTATTAAATTAAACATCGTATAAGAATGTTGCCTATAATTCTAACTTTGTTGTGCAGCTATAAATGTTAATAAATTAATTACAAAAACTTGGAAATTTATTAATTTTCTGCTGCCGAATTAAATTATTAAAGTGTATTATTAGCGTATAACCAGAAAAGGTATCGAGTTCGAATAAAAATTTTACCGCCTGCGATCAGCGCCATCTATGATTTGGGCTCAAAAAGCCAGAAAGTAATAGGAATATAGAATAGGCAAGGAGGTCGTCGAAGTGCTGATCACGTGGTACACAAGGACGGAGAGGGGATAGAAATGGATAGAATGGCTCCGGCAATGAAAAATTATTAATTACTCAATTTTCGTAAACAATTTGTGAACTTTTATAATTTCATTGCAAAGCTGGAACCTCAGGCTACATTCTTATATAATATTCGTAAAGAATTTAACTCTAAATTGTTAGTTATTAATTTTTGTTTTATGGCGTCTATGATTTCGTAACGGCGACCATTACGATCTTCCGTGAGAATATTTAATACTAAACGAAATTAGGAGCAAAATGTGATCAAAAGTTATATGAGAAGATTCGCAAGGACATTGTCTTTATAATGAGTGCATAAAGTTTCATAAATTAATTGCGTAAAGGATAGTAAGTAATAAAAAACCAATGGCGTCTTCGACAATATTCGACAATAATTCAAACATTTCGTAGAATAATTATTAATAATTAATTAATTGCGGACAAATTTATGTCGAAAAATATATGTGAAAGTTCGTGAAGGATCTGGCTTTACGATGCAATTATAAAAGTTCATAAATTAATCACAGATACTGAGTAATTAGTGAATTTTCCACTGCCGATTTGATTTATTAAAATATATTCGGCGCACATAACCAGAGTTAGTAAACTGACATTATTAATTAATTATTAATAATTATTCTACGAAATGTTTGAATTATTGTCGAATATTGTCAAAGACGCCATTGGTTTTTCATTAATTACTATCCTTTATGCAATTAATTTATGAAACTTTATGCACTTATTATAAAGACAATGTCCTTGCGAATCTTCTCATATAACTTTTGATCACATTTTGCTCCTAATTTCGTTTAGTATTAAATATTCTCACGGAAGATCGTAATGGTCGCCGTTACGAAATCATAGACGCCATAAAACAAAAATTAATAACTAACAATTTAGAGTTAAATTCTTTACGAATATTATATAAGAATGTAGCCTGAAGTTCCAGCTTTGCAATGAAATTATAAAAGTTCACAAATTGTTTACGAAAATTGAGTAATTAATAATTTTTCATTGCCGGAGCCATTCTATCCTTTTCTATCCCCTCTCCGTCCTTGTGTACCACGTGATCAGCACTTCGACGACCTCCTTGCCTATTCTATATTCCTATCACTTTTCGAGCTTCGGGTCCAAAATCATAGATGGCGTAGGCTGTACAATTTCTCATTTTAATAGACCATAAAAATTTAACATCTTAATAAATCAATTTGGCAGTAGAAAATTAGTGAATTCCCACGTTTTTGTAATTAATTCAGGAACATTTATAGCTGCACAGCAAAGTTAGAATTATAGGCAACATTCTTATACGATTTTTAATTTAATAATTAATATTTACCTAACCGATAGCTTTTGTATATTTTGTATCTAATAATTATTTATATTTTCTTTTTCTTTCTGTAGTAAATAAAATTGCTGTAGAAAAGTATTTTTCTTGTATAATATTCTTATCTTGTATTAAATATATACTAGCATAAGAAAGCGTAAAAAATAAATTTTTTATTAAGAAGTTTTATTTGTAATTGTTTATTTAAAATGATTTATTTATAATTTCATAGGCGCAAAATGAATATAAAATAAAAAACAGATTGAGGAAAGATTAAAATCCAATGTTTGGTTGTCAGGAATCGAACCCTGGACCTCAACGATACGAAGTCTGCATTACCGCCGTTGAGCCACAACTTTAATTAAAAGTTATTGGAAATAAATGTGTAATTAGGTACTTAATAGAACTTTAATCTCAAATATCTCAAAAACTATTAAGTAGTTGCTATTGTAATAATATATTTTCTTAAACTGCATGGCGATATCTACAAACCTGCAAAGTTTCAACTAAATCGGTGATCCGAAAGATTTACGCTCTCCTTGTTAGAGAAAAATTTCATTTTTCTTTCGTAAAGTCAAAGCAACCGGTTATTACGCGTAGCAAGAAATTCTGATTGAAATATCACGAGGAATATTTTGCAACGGCGTAATTTCCATGCATTTGGAATCCACACGAGGATGGAATCTCTACGTTCCACCCAGAGCTCTTGCTCCCTACCGTAGAGACACTAGCGAACCGACCAGTCTCTCCGTGTGAGTTGGTTAAATAGCAAAAACCCGTTGGAGCCAGGTCTGTAGACGTTCCTTTTAATTATCCCGCAGGCTGTTCCTGAGAAAGGGGCCCAATTTAACGATCATAATGGACTCGGACGTAAAGTTCGCGGCGGAAAATCCGGTGATCTTCTCCGCCCAGTTTTCCATACTGCCAGTCCAGCTAGCCACAGAACGACATCGTGGCTTCTCCTCGTCCTCGTCGAGCGAATGTCCGTTGGAGTGCGCGGTGAGAAACGATCGGAGATCCTGCAAACTCGCGTCGCCGGGTTACCCAGGTGTCTATCCGCGCGGGATCAAATGCAGGATCGCCCTGGAGTCGAACGCGGGTCGCTTTAAAATCGGCGGCCAGCCGGACGACCTCTTCGATCTGATGAACCGTACGTCTGAGGATATCTGCCAGACGGAGAGCTGCGAGCAGCACGTGGAGATCGTGGCGGAAGTGACGAAGACGAGGGTGACCAGATCTGGACGGTATGAGGAGAAAGAGGCGAGAGCCAGGAGGCGAGCTAGGAGCCCGGATCACGAGGAAGAGCTGGAATTTATCATTGGACAAACGTCTCACAAGTCGAGGAGGGGCAGAAATAATCGAAGAAGACTTAAGAAAGTCAAGAAGGAAGCGGACGGATCAAAGGGTCCGCGTGGCAATTCCCGTGGAAAAGCAGCGAACGAGGATATCCGGAGAAATATCGGCCGTCCGAAAGAGATCAGCGAACAGTCTTCGGCAGACGCGTTGCACGGGTCGAGGAGCAGCTCGAGGCAATCCACCGGCTATCGCGATCAGGGAATCCGGCCAGAACCTATCCAGAAGCGACTTCGTCACCCGCAGCGCGTCCATAAGAAGTCCATGGACTCGATAAGCCCGAAAAGGAATTCCGATCATGATCTGCGAGATATATCGGACGCGAGAGTTCAGCCGGACGGGACGGGACTGGAGATTGCGAGGAAAGGCTTGAGCCTGGAGAAGACCACCGCGTTACAGGTGAGTTATCCCGGGAAATTTATTTCGGACGACACTTTCGGCCGCTATCTAGATCGTTTGGATCGGGTTAGCGAGCGCTTGATCGATCGTCCTTCCGGCGGACTACGATACCGGAGGGGAAGGAACGTTGCGTATGCTAATTGGCAGTTGCGTTAAAATATTCCGATATGCATCCATCTTACTCGGTCTGTTTTCGTGATACGCCAAGCGGAGAGTTTAACGTAGTGGAACTTGTAAGATGTTTCACTTGGCAAACGGGAAGAGAACGAGGTTCGATGGGTTTAAAGAAGAAACTGCTTGGTTCGTGCAAAACGAATCCTGTTCTCAGACTGCGAGAGTCGTTTTCCACATTCGTAAATTACCAGTTCTGTTTTAATTACGCTTGTGGAATACTCACGTCATGGAGTGAACGTATATATAATATTAGCGAATGGTACACTGTCGATGTTGTCAACAGAACGAGATTAATTCCAGGATATCTGAAGATACACGTAATATATAGAATATAAATATAGATAATTTATATTTA